TGTGTGTGTGTGTGTGCGTCCGCGCTGATATTATAACGCCAGAGAATTTCCACACCTTTAGTGTATAAAACTCCCCCACTACTTAGACTGTTCCTTGCCCCCCCCTAGCATAACCCCGAATGGTCTCAACCATATTGCATCAGTAACATGCACTTGTTGTTACAGCAGGATCAGTTTGTGTGTTGTGGACACGACCCGTATGTTTTCGCATTTAGCATTCTGCTTATTATTTAATTTATTTTGCTTACTTTAACATCACTTTTCATGGTGGGGCTAAGGTGGGGCTAAGGTAGAGCTGTTATCTTGATTCTGATTGGCCAGAAGACATTATCAAAGATGTTCTATTGAGAAGACGATCACTACGTGACAAAAGTTCTCAAAACCGTTTCTAGTCTTAGGTATTTCCAGACAAGTGGCTACTGAAATCAATCTTACTAACTGCTGTCTGTGTGATTTACTCCGCGCGAGTTGGCGGACTTTATTTTGCTTACTTTAACATCGTTGTTCATGGAGGGGCTAAGCCATTTCTTGGTATGGCTGTAGCCTACCCCAGCCATACCCTGGCGCCGCCACTGCCTAACAGCAATCAGGAGGACGCACTGGTTTGCAACATTCAAACTTTGCAAGAGTCGTTGATTTCAGTCATGATAAATATGATATTTTTCCACCAGACTAAGAATCATTTTCTCTATGAAGTACATTCATGCACACAATATCTGTTTTCTTTATTACTGCCAGATTTTTATTCTATTTTTTATTTATTCCATTCTACTCCTTTGTAAATACTGTTATATTTTACTATATTTTTAATTATTTGTAACGTTTTTTCATGTTATTTTTATGTATGCACCACGACATCAAGTCAAATTCATCGTACATGTCGACCCACCTGGTGATAAAGCTGATTCTGATCTGAAACGTAATGAGCAGCTGTCAAGTGAAGTTAAACTGCAGTGAATCCCTCTGAGATGAGGCGGAGGATACATATCAGGAAATATAAATGTTGAAGTAAAGTAAAATAACTCGTCCTCTCATCTCTCGTTATTTGAACTGCTCCACACTTATCCCTCAGGGGTTCACATCGAATCCCTCTCACTTCCCTCCTGTAATTATATTTAATATCTCTCCGTTTGAGATCCTCCTGCTGATGATGAACTGCAGAGTCATGCTGGAGTCTGCTGTGCCACTGCTGTTTGTTTGTTTGTTTGTTTGTTTGTTTGTTGACTTTGCACAGGTGAGCACATCTGCATACGTTTCATTCATTCACCCGAAGCAGCCTGAGAGAGAGAAGAACAGAGCGACAGATGTTGCTGCTGTTTAAACACATCTGTCTTCATGTGAGAGCCTCAAAGTGTGTGTGTGTGTGTGTGTGTGTGTGAGAGAGTGTGTTTTCTGCACACACACACACACACACACACACACACACACACACACACACACACACACACACACACACACACACACACACACACACACACACCAAAATAGATTTCCCAAAAATCCATCCCTCCCGCTTTAAATAGCTGCAACACGACGCTGTACAGAGAACATCACAGATACTTCTGTGTGTGTGTGTGTGTGTGTGTGTGTGTGTGTGTGTGTGTGTGTGTGTGTGTGTGTGTGTGTGTGTGTGTGTGTGTGTGTGTGTGTGTGTTTGTGTGTGCATGTGTGTGTGTGTGTGTGCGTGTGTGTGTATGTGTGTGCGTCTGTGTGTGTGCATGTGTGTGTGTGTGTGTGTGTGTGTGTGTGTGTGTGTGTGTGTGTGTGTGTGTGTGTGTCTCTCCAGTGCAGGCAGAGACCAGGGTCCAAATATCCCTCCGTCTCCAGTCAGCGGCTCGAACATGGGAACGACGCAGAGCAGGAAGCCAGACGACAGGGGAGCCTGAGGGGAAAGTCACTTTATTAACAGAAATGAACTCAAAAGAACATGAAGTTAATATTTCAGCCACAGAGGTGATATTCAGGGAGGCCTTCAGCTGACTGGCCTCTGACCTGTATCAAACACATGTGTAGCTTTTTGTATAGGTTGTGTGGGAAACAGAGGTTAGGGTTGGACCAACAAGTCTCAAATGTCTGTATGATTTTTCTTTATAATGAAAAACAAAACAAGTTAAGGTCAACAAGTCCCAAGTCGAGGGCCGGATAAAAGGCCAATAAGTCCAACATTTATTTCCAAGTAAAGTCCAGTAAGTTGTTTGTAGTTTCATTAGAGAGCTGCTGTCACCATGACTCGTGTAAAGGTGGTGTGACAGTGCAGCACTAACAGATAAAACCATCTGATAAGCCTCTGTATCAGGAGATATTGAGTAACCCTTGTGCTGCTATAGCCACAATATAATGTGTTGTTATATCAAACAACGAGTCCTACCTGGTAGTACAGCAGCTGCATGGAGTTCACCTGGAGCTCGTGTTGCTTAGCTCCGACCCACTGACACAAAGAAGGAGAGAAATCTGGTTTTATTTGAGTTAATTTCACAGAAACGTTTCATTTATTTTGTGTGTTTACTCACCACTTGGTACAGCGACGTCACGAGGACTCCCAGCGTTGCAAACACCGTCCCCAGCATGTTGAACCTCACGTCAAAGTAAGAGTTCAATATCACCCCTAATGTGATGGGAACCTGCAGAACACATTTTACACCTCAGATTTAGCATCAAAACGAGCAGATCTTTTACTGAAATAAGGACATTTTTTTAACTTTTCATACAGTTTCACAAACCCACATATTTATATAGTATTACAATATTTATCCGAGTGTGCACAGTTTTAGCTTTGCAACCTTATATGTATATCTATCTTTCTTATTCCCGCAACGTACATGCACCAAAATGTGTATTTTATTGCATCGTTTTCTGTAACTGCATGCTGCATTGTTTAAACTTTAGATTGTATTGCCAAAACTTTATTGTGCATATGACGAAAAAAGCCTTTCAATTGCTGGATCCTAAATATTTGAAGACCTATGTGTATATATATATATCTCTTTCTTATTCCTGCAACCTACGTGCCACATTATGTCTGGAACTATTTTCTCGTCTTTTTATTAAATATATTTTGTCTTTTTGAACGTTTTCTTGATGACAGAGCTTGAGACTTTAGATTTAAAAGCCAAAACTGCATTGTGCATATGACAAATAAAGCCTTTGAGTCTTGAGTCTTTGAAGAACTATACAATACTTTTCAATTTTCCCAGATTAAGCTTTTCCAACAGAATGTGTTTCAGTAGCAGAACTCTTACAATAACGAGGAGATTTCTTAAGGTTTTTCGTAAATGTCTCTCCTGTACATCTGCTTATTGCACAAATCCACATAATTATATACCATCACAGTATTTATTCTCCCGTAAAGTACTAGTATTTTGCATCCCATTTCATTCAACCTACTACTTGCACCATTATGTCTATTGCACTATTCTCTCATCTTCTTTTTAAATATATATTTAAATTTTTTAAGTTGAAGGAGCTCGAGATTTTAGATTTTATTGCAACAGTAACAACAAATGTAAAAGCGTCAGCTAAATGCAATTTAATGTAATGTAATTGCCAAACTACATTGTGCACATAGAGTGGCGAAGTCCCTCCCTTTCTGGGGGAGCTCCATGGGACCTTATTTCTGAAAAGTATGTATTGAAGTCAATGGAGAGAGAAAGATTATCTTTCGATCCCGTTTGAATTGTGCCACGAATTACACATATGATGTTTGTCAATTTAAAAGATAATTTTGCAAGTCAAAAAAATTAAAATGTGTCGTAAAACTGTGAAGTAACACTTTTTTGTGTGTGAAACCGCTCAATGAACTACATCTCCCGTCTCGCTCCACACACCAAGACGGCCGTCACGTTGGCACATTTCACTTCTTTCTTTCAGAATGAGGCGGAAAGTATTAAAAGAGGTGAAAATCACACCAATGGAAAATCACCTGGGCATGTTGAGAGCTGTACATACACACAGTTGGTTCCGTAAGAGCCAGCATGCGGGACCGGGATTCTGGGATTTGTAGTCTTTCTAGTTGCGTATTTTTCATAGTTTCATATTTCAACAGTTTTACGACAAACTGTGACTTTTTTGACATGGAAATAATTTTTTAAGATTGACAAACATCATATGTGTAATTCGTGGCACGACTCAAACGGGATCGAAGATAATCTTTCTCTCTCCATTGACTTCAATACATCATTTTTTATTTTTCCGAAATAAGGTCCCATGGGTCGGAAGTAGATGGGCGGGACTTCGCCTCTCTATGACAAATAAAGCTTTTGAATCTTAAACCCTTGAAGAACAGGACATATGTTTCCATTTCCCAGACCAAAGACTTTTCCAACCAAATGAGTTTCAGTAGCAGAACTCGAGGATACTTCTCAAACTTTCCGTACCAGTGTGAGTTTGATCTTGGTGGAGAAGGTCTTCTTGTAGTATGTGGTCTGGATGAGGATGATGACGGGTGTGGTCATGGCTTTGGCCAGCTGGTACGTTCCTATGGCGTTATTCTGCAGCGAGAGGTTGGTGAACGCCACGAACCCACAGAAGCTCAGAGCCAGCCACACAATGCTGCGAATCTGGAGGCTTTTCGGGGCGAAAATGTCCATCTTTTGGCAGACGTAGAGCCCCAGCCATGTGACCACGAAGTGAACGAGAGTCAGGGTCATGTTGGGGAAGCCGTAGTGGACGTAGATCCATTTGTTGATGAAGACGATGCAGATGGAGGACAGCAGGTTCACCAGCAGGCCGGCGATGAGCCGCCCGTTGGGCGATAGATTTAATAATGTCTGCTTCATGGTTCTGGAAGTTTCTCAGCTTAGCGTTCCCAATCTGAGCTTTGTTCAACTATTCTGTTAACACTGCAAAACAGACAGAGACAGTGAAGGTTAGAGAAGTTTAAAACGTTATACAGTCGACTTCATGCAACAGCTATAGTTCAGAAATGCTAATTGGCTGTGTTTTAGAGTTAACTAAGTGTAGTAGTGATTAAGTAAATACAACAATGCAACGTACGGATTGAATATCAGTCAAATGTTGTGAAGGCACCAAAGGTAAATGTGTTCCTATAATGTAATATTACTTGGAGAGCATTATCTCTGTTATAGAACAGGGGTGTGTGGTGCAGTGGGTTGTGCGTTGGTGTTGGGATCAGGGGGTCACAGGTTCAAACCCCACTGCAGTCAGCATGTCGTTGTGTCTAACAAGTGACATGTAATGTAATGTAATGTAATGTAATGGGTGTCAAACTCAAGGCCCGGGGGCCAAATCCGGCCTGTGACTTCATTTGATGTGGCCCCACAAGAGCTTGCAAAGAATATAGTATGTTTATTATATTACATTACATGCAGATTTACAGAAGCATGTTGCCCATAAACTACATGTCCCACAATGCATCTCAAATTTGACATTTTTCTCAGTTTGACTTTTTCTTCAAAATATTCATTTTTTTCTAAGAATCTGACTTTTTTCTCAGAATCTGACTTTTTTCCCAAAATGTTACTTTTTTTCAAAATGTTACTTTTTTTTGGACTTTTTTTCCAAAATGTGGCTTTTAAAAAAAAATCATTTTGTGACATTCTCACTGAGGAGACTTGCATTTTTTGCCCTAGACTTCTGCTTTCAGACGAATTATGAAGTTATTACCCTATCTGATATTAATCCAATGCAGAGGCAAAAATGTAATATAATACATTATTTGATATTATAAATATTTATATATGTATTTTTATATAGTTACAACCGGCCCTTTGAGTGCAACCATAATGCTAATGTGGCCTGAGATGAAAATGAGTTTGACACCCCTGTTATAGAAGGTGAATGTTAAGCTAAGTTTAATTACTTTATTTATAGTTGTGGAAAGTTACAAAGTACATTTACTCAAATACTGTACTTCACTACATCTCAGAGGTTAATATTGTGCTTAATACTACACTTTATTACAGCTAAACAAGTTAGATCGGTTTATAAAATATTATGCTTTGATAGACTAACGAACGTAACTAAAAGTCTATAAAGTACACTTCACTTCCACCACTTCACTTTATAACTCTTATTGAAAAGCAATATAGTAACAAACACTAATATACAAATATAACACTGAAACCGGCAATCTTTTTTAATAGAGAATACTTGAGTTTCTGACACACTTAACTATGAATAGTTGTCGAATAAATCTAGTTAAGTAAACAGTACAATAGCCTTTAATTTGTAGTGCGGTAAGGGTTTAATAGTACCTCAGATATATACTTTAGTTGAGTTTTTCAGTACATTCTGCAGTTTTTAACAGTAAAACAGCTGTTTTTTTAAATTAAGTTTGTAGAGAGTCAGACATAGAAATAGATAATGGAGGTTAAACTGTGAGTTAAATAAAGTGTGTTACAGTTAGTTAACACATTATATTAGATTAAGAATACTTTATTGTCCAATTACATTTACATATAATGGATATGTCTTTTGTACTGGCAAATAAGGAACAAAAACTCACTCATAGACAGCACACAACATACAATTCATGCACACCAAAAGAGGGAAATTGCATCATAAAGTGACTAAGTGGCAGACTTAGTAAAAGTGCAGAGTGGCATTGGTTTAAAGATAGTCTGAACACATCTCTGTCTCGCTCTCTCTCTGTCTGTCTGTCTGTCTGACTCTCATTCTGCCACGCATTAAGAAAAGTTTACCTGGGGTCTCCATCTTTCCATCTGTCTCCCCTCTTTTCCTCCGCCTGTCTACCTCCAGAGGATCAAACACACCGAGAGTTCTAGAGTCTCTACCCGGGAATCGGAGCTCCAATCCCGGCCTTTGTGGTGACGAATCCCCGCTACTTTTTCCTGGAGGATTTTTCTCTCCCTGCTCTCCAGCTGATTACAACCGTGATTTCTGGTTACAAGCCGCCCAGTGTGTTCCTGTTTCCTCCGTGTTCAACGTCGTTTAACCGGCGTGTGTTGAGCAACAGCGACCGGTAGTGGACTGGAGGGAGAGGTAGCAGAAAGAAAAATATTAAAAACATTAAATCAAAAAGAAAATAGGGAACATTTTAATTGTTTTTAAAATAATAAAAATAGAAGTAAAATGAAACAAAGCTGTACCAAAGCTAGCATAAAAAAAAAAAAAATGTTTTGTAAAAATAAATACACATCTACTTAAATAATGTTGAATGAATATCTTTTGTGGACTTAAAAAATTAAAACGTGTATTTTATTTTTCTATTTTCTTATTTTGATTTGCCTCTTCTCTGTATATTATCGTGCTATGGACCCCAATTAATTATGTCTATAGCAAAGTCATCATGACACTGCTTTCAAATATCTATTTATAAGATATATAAGATTAAACAAACAATAAAAATACAATGAAAATAATGTTCTTGAAAAAACAAGTTTCCACTTTAGATAAAAAAATTAAATAAAAATAGCTGTACGCTTAAGCCTTTGTACTGAGATTGTGCACATTGCAAGTGTTGGATTTATTAATAACCTACAACACATGTGTCAAACTCAAGGTCCGGGGGCCAAATCCGGCCCTTGGTGGATTTAATTTCGGCCTGCAGGATCATTTTTAATTACTATTAGATCTGGCCCGCCGGTATATTTCACGCACACCTTCACTCCATCCTGAGGGTCTCCTCAGCTCAGAGCCTGACCCCAAACATTGATGAACTTGCACCCAAGATGAGATGCCAAGTATCTGAACTAGCATCACAGAGCAGCACACTGAGTTTCAATGTTTCCTTCTGCACTTTCTTTCTTGCGACAACAGGGCATGTTTGGTTTTCTCTTTGAGGGGNTATTGTTATTAATATTATTTTTCGTCACTGTGTTTTTATTGTCTATATCTGAACGTGGAAACAATGTGTTTTTCTTTTTATCAAACTTTTCAAGGTGGGGTGGGGGACTCATTCAAAAACCCTTTAAGTGGTGATTTAAGTGTGTGTGTGTGTGCGTGTGCGTGTGTGTGTGTCCTACCAGCCTGTCTGAACAGTGAAGCCGGAGTGTTCCTCATCATGGAGCGAGCTGGTGTGACGGTGGAGGCGATGGGGCTGCTGTCGGGGGACGGGACTGAGATCAGCGGTCAGGAAACAAAAACACTGACTGCTCTGACATTATAGTGTGGTGCAGGAACGAGTCCTAAAACCCAGAAGTGAGTTAGCATTTCACCACTTCCTGTTCCCTAGTCTCAGAGCCAATAGGATTTTAGAATTAGTTTTTGGAAAATAGCTGAAATAAGGTCTGTGGTCGACACATTGAAGAGACGGATCACGTTTTGTTCTACGACATTAAATCCATCAGCAGTGACCCCACTGGTGAGTTCTGAAGAGTTGACGTGTCTGAAAAACGATGGTTGTTACCAAGTGGCTGAATAGGACTACAGAAGTCGTGGAGGCCGTTGTACGTCATTACGCCGAACACGTAAACACTCCTCTAAGTTAGTTTCTGTTCTGCTTGAAAGCAAGTCCCTGCCTCCTGCAGACTGTTCAAACAAACGCTTCAACTTGTACCATTTAGAATCTGTGTGTTTGAATATGGATCTTAAGTTGGCGTGACGTTGAAGTCGTGCGACCCTGCTGTACTCGGCTGTAGTTAAGGATACAGAACACCTTCTTCCTCATTGACCTTCTACGGGCAGCGACGGTCACCTCGTCGTCTCGAACCACCGGAGACGGCAGCTCATTCTGACCCCTGGAAGACAAGACGTTAACGTACGTGTTTGTGTATAAATACATTAGAGCTGCACAGATTAGACAGAAAAAAGTCACAACGTATTAAAATATCTTGATGCATGACAAATGTCGTATATGTATGAGAATCAAAATGTATGAAGTACATCAGTACCAAAGGTAAAGGTACATTATGCAGAATGGCCCACTCCAGAAACGTATTCATTATAAGCTGATGCGTTTTAATGCATTATTGTCACTTAATATTACTTGTAATGTTGAAGCAGGTGAAGCTGATTTTGTAAGACTCTATAAATGTGGGTAGTTTCATCTATAACAATATAATGTGTTGTCTAATACGTTTGCATTGACAATAAGAATCTGCAAAGAAGTGCAGTAAAACGTGCAATATGTAAATATGAGCACAGAATGGAAATAATCAAGTAAAACACAAGTATGTCCAAATGATAACTGAGTAAATCTACCTAGCAACACTAGTGTTTGACACGATAATAAGACATAGAACAATTAAAACGATTCAATAATCCATCAGCTCTGCTAGCTAACTATTATAAACACTGGTTATAGCATTTAATATAACCTGTAGGTGTTAAAAACAAGCACCCTGTGTGTTTTTCTCCTTTTACTGTCTGTAAAAACACGTTATTATCATTCTGTTGAAACATGTCAACATTAGCATCTGTTAGCATCACCATTCATTATGAACGGCGTCGTTAGCCCGAGCTAACAAAGTGAAGTAGCCGCACAGCTGGCTAAATAAAGCAAACAGTTCCCATGCAGAGATAACATATATATCAACATGTGTAAAATATAAGCTTAATTAATATTATTTACCAGTCCATAGTATTGCTGTCAATTCCCGCTTCACGAGGCTCAACAAAATTCTTCTTCGTGGGTTTTTTACTTCTCTTCTTCTGTTTTTGGATATCCGGCAGACTGGAGGCAGTGCAGCTCAATGTTGCCCCCTATCGGTCGGTGCTATATTGCATAGTGGATATTTCGAGTAAAGATGTTCAAATTCAATACAATTAAAAGTCATGGTCCATGTGAGTATCAGTATCTCATGTCAAACTTGTGTCTTTAATATTTAGAATTACGCCCACATTAAAGAAATACAATGTTTAATCATTTTTTCTTAATTTTTCAAACGTTTTCCTGTCTTGATTTATCTCTCAAAATGTGTTGTGTGTAGTGAGTCATTTGTTGTTGGTCAGGGGTGTCAAACTCAAATAAACAGTGGGCCAAAATAAAAAAATCGGTGCTAGTCGAGGGACGGACTGGTTCAATGTTTCTTGCAGAACTTATTGAAATGAACTTATTGCACATATTAAACCTGGAACTAACAAAGCTTAAATGATTGCCTATAAAAACAACATTAAACATTAAATAATCAGTTGCATTCATTTCTTATGGCTCTATCTGCAGCTTTTCCGGAGTCATTTCTTATTATTATATTTTCCCACAGGCCAACAACAGCTTCAAAAAAACTATTCCCCTCAAAGAGAAAACCAAACATGCCCTGTTGTCGCAAGAAAGAAAGTGCAGAAGGAAACATTNAACATCCATTGAAACTCAGTGTGTTGCTCTGTGATGCTAGTTTAAGCCAGATACTTGGCATCTCATCTTGGGTGCAAGCTCATCAATGTTTGGGCTCAACTTGAGCCCAAACATTGATGAGCTTGCACCCAAGATGAGATGCCAAGTATCTGGCTTAAACTAGCATCACAGAGCAACACACTGAGTTTCAATGGATGTTTCCTTCTGCACTTTTTTTCTTGCGACAACAGGGCATGTTTGTTTTTCTCTTTGAGGGGAATTGTTTTTTTGAAGCTGTTGTTGGCCTGTGGGAAAATATAATCATAAGAAATGACTCGGGAAAAGCTGCAGTCCGGCCCTCGACTAGTACCCATTTTTTTTATTTTGGCCCACTGTGTATTTGAGTTTGACACCCCTGCATTACATGATACACATACGCACTGAGGGACGTTGTGCTCTTGAAGTTGTTTTTTAAAATCTTTCCTTACCATTGTAAAGTTAGATTAATATTGGTCTTCTTTAAAAAAAATAGATCTGAAATGTATTATTTTACATTTGGATTGTACAAGCCTAAAGAAGAACTAAATGGTTAAACATGTGATTTCATGCTTCTGCAGTGTTGCATGAAGGGAGAATACTGTTGGAATTTGGACTTTGGGGTCAAGTGACCCCTGATCGTTTTAACACATCAGTGTAATGCGGGACCAAATGTTGAGTTTATCCTTTTTTTCTTTTGACCCTCTGCACTCTTTTTTTCGTGAGATTGAAGAAGTTTAAACTGGTTTGTGGTCAATAGTATTTTTATATTTCATCAGTGCTAACCTGAGACTATCCTTCTCTTCTATTCTGTAGTTTGAAGAGCTTTGCTAAACTAACATGTTGCTTGTATGTTCCAGCAGTATTGTGCGTTTAACACTGTAACAGAGTACGGTTTCTATTTAAACCTAAACACATTATGATGCGAAACTTCCAGTGTCTTTAACCAATTATTTCTTCTCCCCAATTGAACTGGTACTCAGATGTGTCTTTGTCTCTTTTTGTCCTTTCCATTGTCAGTCTGGTTGAACCATTGCAAAGCATTTTGTTCCCCATGTACAGAACAAGCCCTTCCTACAGAATAACATTATTTATAACAAGGACCTTCACAAACTAAAACCATGAATGACCATTCAGAAATATTAAATACCCCTCTCAACATTTTTGGTTTGAAATAAAAGATTGTTGAGATGTTAATTATTGCTTATATGTTTTATTCAGTGTATTTTTCCTCATACAATCTCTTTATTCTATTCCTCTTTGTGTTACACACAGGGATCCTGAGGTCCATTCCCAACAGTACCGTCCACTGGAGGTCTTTTTCTTGTGATAGAGTTCAGTCTCACAACAGATTGCATTTCATCAGATTCACTCAAGGTCAGCCCATTTTTGTGTATCAATGTGAAATAGTTTGTTCCTTAATTACATTAGTTTGAAATTGTCCCTTCAATTCCAATTTGATCAAATATTTTCTGTCTCGATGTAAGCCTTGTAACACTGTAATGTGCTTTTTCTACAATTTACTAATGTTTTTAATGCCTTTTGCTACTTTTAGACTTATTTGATTTTATTGTGTTAACATGTGCTTGCCTCTTGATTTACTATGTTAGTCTAATAAAGGGGCCTTATTTCGTTTTTGGGACTTTCCCCTCTCCTGTATTGTGTTATAGGTCAATGTGCATATAAATGTTCTAGAACCGCTGAAATCCCTCCATTGGACTCCTTTGTTCACTTTCCTATCATAGTGACATCACTGTCACACACACTTCTATTGGCTAGCGCTCCAACTAATTGTACGTGATAGTCTAAGGGGCGGGACATCTCTAAGCGACTAACCAATCAGAGCAGACTGAGCTCTGGTTTCAGACAGAGGGTGAAAAGAGGTGCTGCAGCACAGGCAGTATGAGAGAAAAAAAGAGCTTTTATTTAACTTCTGTTTCAGATAAATTGTTTTTAAAAGTGTTTTACGGTCCCCTCCAAAACTATTGGAACAGCGAGGCCAATTGTTTTATTTTTGCTGTAAACTGAAAACAATTAGGTTTGACGAAAGAATGAATATGAGACAAAAGGTCAGTATTTTTACATCTAGATCTGTTAAACAACTGAGAAGATGGCACCTTTTGTTTAAACCCACCCATTTTTCAAGTGAGCAAAGTATTGGAACATACAGACAGGTGTTTTTTGTAAAGAAACACCACCAACAATCTCCAGAGGGCAGGAGGGAAGGTATCAAAATCCACCGTTAGCAGAAGACTTTGGGAACAAAAGCACACTGGCTACACCAGAAGATGCAAACTACTCATTAGCAATAAGAATAGGAAGGCCAGATTTGAATTTGCCAAAAAGTACAGAGACGAGGCTCAAAAGTTCTGGGACAAAGTTTTATGGACAGATGAACCTTTACTAAAGTGATGGAAAGGCTAACGTGTGGAAAAAGAAAGGATCATAATTCCAAACACACAAGCTCATCTGTAAAACATGGTGGAGGTTATGTCATGGCTTGGGCTTGCATGGCTTCTTCTGGACGGGCTCATTGATCTTCATTGATGATGTAACACAGGATGGCAGCAGCAAAATGAACTTGGAAGTCTACCGAGACATTTTGTCTGCCAATTTAAAGAGAGATGCAACCAAACTGATCGGGAGATCCTTCATCATGCATTAAGACAACCCAAAACACACTTCCAAAACAACCAAGGAGTTTATCAGGGAAAATAAGTGGAAGGTTCTAGACTGGCCAAGTCAATCTCCAGACTACAATCCTATTGAGCGAGCATTACGCCTGCTAAAGAGGAGACTGAAACAAACAACAACTGAAAGAGGCTGTGGTGAAAGCCTGGAAAAGCATCATGGCCCACACAGCGGCTTTGGAAAAAGCTTGGAGGTGGGCATGTCTGAAGCTTGGGGGAGTTTATGCGAGCAACGCGACCAACAACCAATCACATGAATCTCCCGCCCCGACATACAAAGCAAAAAAGACAGGTTCTTCTCCGCTATTGCCAAAATGGATGCCGGTTTTGTTTCAAGGGTAGCAAGTGTAGTAGCAAGGGTGGCTTTAGTATATGCAATGTCTCGTAGGAGGCCATGTAGTGTGCGTCGCTGTTTGGTACATCTGCAATCTGAACTGCGGTATGTCACTCCCAGCATACACGCGGTTTGATTGGCTAGTGCTTGGACTGGCAGATTTGCATAAACAGGATTTGATTGGTTGACGCTTCTGCCGAGGCTTCAAAAGTTGAACATTGCTCAACTTTTGCAGCCTGAAACGCCAGGAAAGCTCCGCTCTGCTTCCCACGATGCAGTTCGGCGAAAAGTGACGTCACCCCATTCAAAGTGAATGGGCAGAAGCGTTGGAAGAAGCTTCCAACGCCGCTGTGTGGACGGGCCGTCACAAAAGAAGAATGCAAAAGTTTGGTGATGTCAATGGGTCGCAGGCTTAATGCAGTTATTGCAAGCAAATGATTTGCAACTAAATACTAAGTATTATTCAATTTTCACACTATTTTAGGTCTCTGTTCCAATACTTTTTCTTGTTTAACAGTTGTTTAACAGATCTAGATGTAAGTACCTGGAATTAAAAGCTGAAATACTAACCCTTTGTCTCATATTCATCTTTTGATGTCAAACCAAATAGTTTTCAGTGTACAGAAAAAATAAAGCAATTGGCCTCGCTGTTCCAATAGTTTTGGAGGGGACTGTATATCTATTCCTCTGGGCCTTAATCTTCATTATTTAGGAATTTCTTTTGGGATTTTTAAAACCCCAAATGTATAAACAAACTAGCTCCATAGTCATTTATGTTGCCAAAACACATATGAATATATTGATAAAATGTCTCCAAAAAATGTACAATATCACTTTGAGATTGTGTCCTTAACCAAACTTCACTCAACACATTTGTCTCACGTCAAACTCCGCTCATCGTCACCAGTGATTATTCTTGCAGAGGCTGATTCAGCTTCGCTTTAATTATACCTCTCTGCAGCCTGTCTCCACGGAGCAGACACCTGTGTAAAAAAAAGCAAAAAAACAAAACATCCAGCTTGTCTGTCTCCTCTCAGCCGCGCTCACATTACACCTAATGAGAACACTCCGGTTGTCCACACATGAACATCATAATGTCATTCCTTTACGGGACAGTGTGTCTGGGAGATTTTGACTCGTGCCTCCTCTGTCACTCAGTGGTTTTATTCATCATCACCATGATGTTCCAGTGCTGTCAGTGTGTGCGCCTCTGAAATGGCCCGATGAGGAATCATTCCGCCGTTGAGTGTTATGTCACTGTCATGCCAACAGCTGCCGTCAACAACCCTCCCAGGGTTCATTCAGTGTGCAAACATTTAG